GAACATGGCAAAACCCTCCTGAGACAACAGACCTCAACCATGCCAGGAAGACAGTGCATCCATCCACAGCAGGATCCCTCAAACCAATACCTGGGACTGCTCCTGTTGCTCTCATCTGCCTGGTAAGCCCCAGCTCACCTCCAGGGAGAGCAGTGCTGCCATCAGTCTGCCCCCCATGCTCCAAATGCTGCCCACACCTCCAGGATCTGCTGAAGAAGCCTCCCCTCCTCTGAGCATCTTCCCTGGCCCAGGCCTCGGCCCCAGCGGGGTGCAGATGGCAGGAGGCACAAAGGAAAAGCCACCACTGACAGCCCCTCTGGGCAAAGCACGTCAGCAAGGCAGCGCACGGAGCTTGTGCCGCTCCTGCCAGCTCCCTCCCCTGCTCCAGAGCCAAGCCAAAACCCGAGGTCCCCGGGATCTGCAGGCCCGAGCCTGGCGGCTCTCCCGTGCCCCGAATTAGCCGGCTCTGAGGCCGTTTGAAGCGGCTCCAGCCTTCAGATGTAGGAACACGCAGCCCCTCAGCGGTAGCCGGTCCTGGGGCGCATCCAGCTGGGATGCCCATCCTGCCATCCCCGAACCGTGCTCACGCTCCTCACGGCCGGCATCCGTGCCCATGTGTTCACCTGGCAGCCTTCCCAGCCACGGGCTGCCTGACGGGGGCTCAGCTGCCAGGTACTGATGCACTGAGAGAGAGAGGCCTGAGCAGGACTGGGAATGGTGCTCCTTCAGGCTTCCCGCTCCTCCAGGCCACGGAACAGAAGGGAACATCTCGCACCTGATGATGACTGCGGTTTTGTCCCAGCCTCTCCTCAAAGCAGGCTCAAGATGAAGGCAGAAGAGAGAATACACCCCTCACCAACTCAACAGGTGCTGAGGAAAACTTAAAGTAGCTGAAATCACACAATTTCTTGCAAATCTAGGTTGGCAGGAGCAGAGAGCAGCTGCTCAGGAGCAAGGAATGGTAGGGGCAAACCCAAGGGCCAACATTTATCACCAAGGCACGTGGGATTAGCTCTCATTCACTCTGGGATGTACAGGCAACAGACATTTTCCAGTTGGATTTTGCTTCGGATGCTTCCATGAAACAGCACATACATGAACACAAAGAGGAGGTGAGGGCAGCTCCTCTCAAGGGAGCTGGGTGAGAACCCTCAGTCCTGCCACCATCAGGAGACACAAGTGGTTTCCAGAGCTGTAGGGATTTATTTTTTTTATTTTTTTTTTTTACTTCTTAAATCTTTCTGACATCACAGGAGCTTTCAGTAACATAAAGCACCCCTGCTGCTAGAGACCCTGCTGTGTGTAATAGCCTGCCTGCAGAAGGAGATGAGGGGGATGCTGCTGGCAGGGGACAAAACAGCAGAGAATGTGTGTGCACGTCTCAAACCGTGAGCTACATATAAGCCTACAAATGTGTTCTCAAGACAGATGGACAGAAAATCCAGGTTTATTTCCCACTGAAGAGCAGCTATGATGTTGACTAGGAGAGCATACACCCCTGCCTTTGACCCCAACCTCATTTTTTGTGGGACTTTAACCCCAGTGTCCTGATCTTTGGTGTCACTGCTGCAAACAGACAGTAAGGATCACCATGAAGGAAAAAGCAGAAAGTTTCAGCCTAGGTGTGCTACAATTGAGAGCATTCCTAAACCTCAGCATTTTGCAGCCATTTCTCAGAATCAGGCAAATCTCTTAATTTAAAATAAGTAACTTCTTGTATATTTATTTAGTTATGATTGTGTAACAGGTAATATTCCCAGGACGGCAATCAAAAAGGTTGCTTACATTAAGATCCTATAAGCCTATGCAGTCCTAATAATCCCTTTTTAACACTACTATTGACAGATGTAAAGTTTTTTACACACTCAGCTATTTTTTGACACTGTAGTACCAAGGTCAAAAGATCAAAGCCTCCTCACAGCTTAAAAAAAAAAATAAAAATACATAAACAGTGTTTTTTTGTCCAACAAAATACTTAGAGGCCAACCTGCCACAAACAGGTCTGCAACATCCACTTAGTGCAAAAACATCTCATCACTGAGGATGATTCATTATACATGTGAGTAAGACAAGTAAAAGCGGAGCAAACAGCTCCCCAGTATCCTCCTGATCTGGACCAGGGGAAAAAAAACCAACAACTATCCTGACTGTTCCTCCTCTTAATTCCAGCCTTTGAAACCGAGTTACGTGAAGTGTTATTAAGTTCTTTCTCTTATGAAGACCAAGAAAAGTTGTGTGGCTTTTTGCCAAGCCAGAAATAAAATTGCAGTAAATGAAATATTTGACCAGAACATTGCCTGTATTTTATTTAACCTTGAATCTTCAAATTAGGCTCCAGATCTTCAGAGCAAGCAGATATGCAGAGTCCAACTCTGGCTAATAGACCAAAAATGGTGGCACAGGGAATATGGATGTGAGACACACTGGTTTCAGTCCAAAAGTGGAATCTGGTGCCTGGTTTAAGATCACCTAATAGCTACTGCCAGGTGGGATAAAGGGCTGGAAGCCCAGTGATGCAACACTAAAACATAGGTACACTAATATTAGTTACTTTATATTCAGCAAGTTCCTAAATAAAATCTGAAATGCTGAGTTTAAGCTCCATGTTAGTCAAGCTTTCAAGAACTGGCCATTGAATTTGATAAAGCCACACAAGAGGGACTGATCTTTATTTCCAACTACATTAATTTTTGGCTCTGGTAAGCAAGTTGGCTTTTTGTGTTGCTGATACAAAGCAACCAACTTAAAACAAGGTTTTGTACTTACTCTGGAGGGAATGGTAAGTAAATATAGCTGTTAAAATACAAATATGAAATAGACCTAAAAACCAACTTGTCACATACACATTATAAAGGACTCCACCAAAATAATTCAGAAATTGTGCTGCAGACACATATCAAACAGCATCTTAAAGAGATGTTCAACTTCTGAATATGACTGTTACCAACAAGGAGCCACTTCACATCCATCCCTGCACTCAGTACAGTTAAACTGCTCCACAGAAGCACATTCACAGGACCAGAACTTGATTCTGGTATTCAAAATCTCAGCTGTAGCTGAATTGCCCAGGAAACAGCAAAACTGGTATGGAGGGGGCAAGGAGGAGAAAAAGAGGTAAACTGTTTTGTAAACTGAAGTTTCTTGGCATTGACACAGGCAGACAGCTAATCACTAACAGGATTCACCTGGCATCTCTAGCACCACAACTTCCAAAAAGGCCAAGTTTATCCCTAAGCTGGCAGTAAAGCACTGCACACTAAAATGTTGTCATCTGCTCAAATTCCTGATCCCCTCATCTTCCATTAGGATTTTCCCTGCCTTGAACATTTTAACTGCACTGTCAGTTAAACTGGGATATTCCTCACCCCAATTCTTTCAAAGAGAAAGAACTCAGTATTTCATTTGAGTACCAAAATATTAAGATTTTGTTTCCTAATATTCCTTTAAAAAAAAATAAAAAAAATCCTTATCTACACTTCTATTCCAGATTATTCAATAAAAAACCTCCCAGGCTAATTACCTGTTTGTGTAGGTGCTTGCAGCAGTGCTGATAGGTGAAACATAATTCTGAAGTACAGGACAAAACAGGTAGTTATTTATATTGAAATGCATTGGTAGCAAGTTTAACAGGCTTGCTATCAAGTAGACAGAAGTGACATCTTAAGTCAGGTAAATTTCAGTTGCTCACCTTTTATATTTCTGTTGTTCTGGGTGCTCCAACACAAGTCTTCCTTAATTTTTAGTTGATAGCTATGAACTGTTTGGCATCAAAAGGATGTGATCACATTTTGTCTAGCATTAGTCTTGCCTGTGACAAGCTACTCCATTTAAATAGACTTTACTTTGCACAACCCTGGCAGACAGCATTCATTACCAAAGCTGAGCAAGTTATGAAAAACGTGATTTATTCTGTAATTTTTGGCTCTCTGTTCAAGATACCAAAGCAGATAATATATCTCTATTAATCCTCTTTGGAAATCTTCAGACAAATTCACTCATGTTTAGAGCTCACTCAAAACCTCTCGAAAGAAGTTAGCAGCAAATAAGCTCTGCAGGAGCCTTAGCATGGAGGTGAAATCTGTTCACCGCCTACGTTTTTTCTGTGGAGCTCATTTCATTATCTGCAAGAACCATCAAGCACTACACCACATAACTCGTTTCCAGACTGGTCTGCCAGTCTGTTTAAGTCCCTATGTTTCAGTCTGCCCCCTTAAACAAACTTCAGGGGAAAAATTAAAACCAGGTTTTCACAGGACAGTATTTCAGCAATAAATTTCCTCATGTGAAGTTTCATCAGCAATTGCGGGAGAATATAAAAACCCAGTAAGTTTTAAATCTGTGACCCTGTCCAAGCACTGCTTCTGTGAAGTATTGTAACAAAAATGGTACAAAAGTGATTTTTAGATTGAAGTGTATAAGTTGAAACTAATCACATGTGAACTAAGCCCTCAAAAATGCTAGAGGGTGTGACTGAAACAGAAAGGTAGCCAACCAAAAAGGGAACATCTACAAATCAAGAAACTAACCGAGTGTAAAAGGGTAAAAAAACCACAACAAGAAACACCCAAGAAAACTAATACCCCGAAACAGAAAAACCCAAACCATTACATTCCACCACTTGTGCCATACTAAAAAAAAAGCAAAAAAAAAAAACCCATGAAAAACACTTCAAATTCAGCATTAAATCGAGTAAGAAAGGAATCTAAATTACAACAAATTGCTGCTTCTTAGCACTATAGCTTACAGAGCTCAGCTCTGCTCCAGACTCTACCTGGTACTATACTCACCAAATTTACTTTCATGTGGAGCAGACAAATTTTACACTTTTAAAAGAACCTCACATAAACACTACTTCAGCCAAGGCAGTATCCCCAGTATTTCTTAGAACTGCTCCAAGGAATTAGGCCATGCACTGAAGAGAAAAAGGGGAGGGAAGGCTGATCACTTTTTAATCAATATAACCCATGTGTAATATTTAAAAATCAAGACTAAAAACAGGCATCATTTAATGTATTTTAATAGCAAACTTACAGGAACAGCACAGAAGACAGACAACATTAAAAACATGTACTTGCATGTAGGACAACTCAGTTAGAAAAGTATAGTGAATGGATGGAATCTACTGTATGATAAAAATGCTACAAACACCATTTAGTTGCCATTGATAAGAAATTTACTTGTTTAAAAAAATCCAAATGCTGGCATTGTCCAGAAAAATTTGACAGGTTTATTTATATTTTTTTTTTTATAAAGTTGTTTTGGTGAACAAGTTTCAACAATTAATGTTTTTATTTTTTGACCACATTGATTGTTTTTATGTCCCCTTGTTTATATTAAAAATCCACACACAAATGAAAATGGAAAGAAAACTTGCCAATACCCAATTCTGTCCCCTATTTTTCCACTTGCAACCATATACTTAAGGTACCTTTTAACCCCATGGAAAAAATATCTAACGTTCATTACTACCAATAACAGGAAGAAGATTTTGCTTCGAGAATGACAAACCCATCGTGGTGAGGTTTTAGGCACGCTCCCCACGTATGCGGCGTGCTAGCTGGATATCTTTTGGCATGATTGTGACACGTTTGGCATGGATAGCACACAGGTTGGTGTCTTCAAACAGGCCAACCAAGTAGGCTTCACTTGCCTCCTAGTGTGGAAGAAAAAAGGTAAGAACATTTTTACTCTCTGAGCACAGGAAAAAAAAAAGAATCATAGTTCAGAATTAAAAGTACAGTGTTACATGGCGTTAAGTGGAGGTTTTGATCTTTATCACTCACAAATATCAAAAGTTTTAGATTTTCAGAAATGAAAAGCCTCCACTTTCTTATAATATTCTCTCTAAAGAAGTGTACTGCTGCCATTTGGTAAGGACATCCTCCAGAACACAACAGAACTAATACTTCCATGGGATTCTCATGAGATAGGAAGGGGTTAAATTATTAACAGGTTAGTTAGTTTAGGAAATTCTCTTTCCAAAGGCTGGTTTACATTGTTTGAGAGCCTTGTTTGCTGCCTCTTCCAGAGTAAGAGTCATTGAGCAGCAGGTGAAATTGGCAGGTGGCAAGGAAAAGAAGAACATGTACTCCTTCCTGGCACACAGCTCAGGCACTCAGCTCCTTCCACAGATACTGAAGAGGTGGCTTAACTCAAAAATTAGCAGAAAAAGGATATACTGGGAACTATTAGAAATAAGAGAACTCCTTTAGTTCAGGAACTTCTTGAACCATCAAAACCAGGACATCAGGTCCTGTCAGGGAATTGCCATCAGACACTTGTCCCATTCCTGTACTTTCTTTGTGGCTATCTGGGGACACAGCACTGGCCCCCATTATCACAGAAGGTTCTCACCTGAGAGAATCAGGGGCAGCACAAGAACTTACAAGAACACAGTGGTTTTCCCTGTTACTGAACAGCTGCAGACAGGACTCTGAGTTAGACAGATGTGCAGTTGGACCTAAATATTCTCCTGCCTCACGTTAAATTAGCTGCTGCTAAGCCCAGCACAGCAATGGTAATTGTTTAAACACTTTTGGGTTCATATGGAATTCTAACACCTATCAACCTCCTAGGAAGCATCTTAGTGTGCCAGTATTGGACACAGAAACAGCTGGGCTGAGAAGGTGGGAATGATGGGGCTCAATTATATTGCAGTAGGATATGAGATTCCACAACTAAATTTTGTCAAATCACTATGTGGAAAGTTAAGACACCTCATCAAATATCCATGCTGGCACAAACAACATGGTACCCAAGGGGTTAATTGTTTTTTCTTTATTTTACTTTTTTGAGTTTATTTTTTTAAATATGCCAGCAGAACACACTAAGAATTGTATGTGACCAAGTTCTATACCAACAAGTCCTTAATGCAAATTAAGAAATATTCAAACCAGGAGCCTTCTGTAAGTGTATTAACTACTAAATTTTAATAGGCAGTTCTACATAAAGAGACACAGATAAACCTCAGGATTTAAGAACTACCACACAGAATAACTAAAAGCAAAAGCAGCAACTCTGCAAACACACACAGGCACCTTTTGAAGCTAAGCATATGCCCAAGTTTATGGGCTCTCATGGCAATAGTCTTGGCCCCTTATCAGGTGAAATTCATTAACTAGAAAGACCATTTTGCCTGCACATCAGACAGACTACAATTACAGATACATTCTGGAACGATCTTTCAAAAGCTAAAAGAATAGTAAAGACCTGTCTTTAATTGGGAGTGTCTTTTATCACGAGAGAGAGATGTCCCCATGATAAGAACTGAGTCTTGCGGGGGGTCCTAACTTAAGATTCAGGAATTTGGGCAAGAAAGAACAATTAATATTTTTCTCTCTGTATAATCTAAATAAGTTACATAACTAACGTACTAAAAAAATGTATTTAGTATCAACTACATCCTAGGAAAGCAGCTATTTCCCTAATCGTGTTTAGATGTAGTTTATTGGGCTGTTTTTCTTTAGAGGTCATTTGAGGACGCCAAGACCTCCCCATCAGGGCACCCCAGGTACCGCTTTACACGATGTTCCTTCTCCAGCTGCAAAGCTCAAAGGTGGAGGAAATTGTGTTTTTCTTGAGCACCTTAAGCACTGTTCTAACAAATCGAGGAGCTATTTTTAAAAAAAAGCATATCCAAAGCACCCCGCACAAAAACACACAGGCTCTGTAAGGAGCTGCTGAGCTGTCCCTGCGCTGTTTTATCCTATGGTACCCACAGGCATTCCCAGCACCCCCGTGGGCAGGGCAAGGATGAGGTGCGCATCCCTCCCCACCGCGCGGACCACGCCCACCGCGCCAGTCCCACCAATCAGAGGGAGCCCAGACTAACCCTGGAAACAGCCTGGCCAATGGGGGAGGGGGGCGGAGCTCCGGGGGCTCCAGGGAATCCCGGCCGGGGGGCGCTCCCAGCGCTGCCCCCGGACCCCTCGCCAGGCTCACCTGCAAAGCACCGATGGCAGCGCTCTGGAAGCGCAGATCTGTCTTGAAGTCCTGAGCAATTTCACGCACCAGACGCTGGAAGGGGAGTTTGCGGATCAAAAGTTCGGTGGACTTTTGATAGCGCCTGATTTCACGCAGAGCCACAGTACCCGGCCTATTAAAATTAAATACAATGAAAAAAAATTAAAATATTAGCGTTGAAAACATATTCTGCATCACTTTAAAAACAGGGGTCCAATCTCCAGATTGAACCAAGCACCATACACTCCTGTTTCCCCCAGGAGACCCCCCAGCTTTTACAATACAAAATCAGCTCTGCTGGCAAAGGGTCTTCTCACCACCAATCTGCGCCAACTTCCACTGGCTTCAGCAGGGATCCTTCAGGCAGCCTCCCGAGGCCTGACTTCACCAAGGGAAAAGTCGGCCAACATGCGCTGTCCACCTGACACAGCTCAGTGCAGATGTGGCAGATGTGGCAAACCACAAAGCCACCCCGAGTTCAGCTGTATCAAAGGTACCCTCCCAGCGAGGGGCCTGACAGGAACCCCGATTTTAAGGGAAAACTGGTTCTTCTCTACTGTCAACATTCACAGAACCAAAAAAAATTTACTATCTCTGTTATACTGTCAGTCAAAAGTATCCAGCATATTTCCTTCCCCATGTTAGTTTTGGTGTCAGAATGACAAATCCAGATTAGCAACATATGTTTGCAAACGTGATGTCTATCTGTGAAATTAGTACCACATTTATTTCCGTGGGAGCTTTGCCTTTTCCTGCTCCAGCTTTGTTACTTTCCTCCCAAAAGATTAATTCTGCCACACACCTAGAGCAAGAATCACAGAGTGGGTCAGGTTAGAAGGGACCACAGCGGGTCACCTGTCCCAACCTCCCTGCTCAAACAGGGTCATCCCAGAGATGGTATGTCAGGATTGTGTCCAGATGGCTTCTGGATATCTCCAAAGAAGGAGACTCCACAACCGCTCTGGGGAATCAGTTGCAATGCTCAGTCACCTCCACAGTAAAGTTCTTCCTCATGTTCAGGTGGAATTTCCCGTCCATCGGTTGCCGCCCATTGCCTCTTGCCCTGTTGCCTGGCACCACTGAGAAGAGCCTGTCTCCATTCTCTTCAGGCTCCTCAATACATTAATAAATCCCCTCTCGGACTTCTAAATTAAGCCCCCTATTCAAAACCCACTTCCTCCCAATCCACGTTTTCCCCAAGGAATACCTACACCTAGCCCAAAACCATCCTCCAAGCTGAAGCACGACTGCCACCGCTCTGCACCGAGCTAGGACTGTAAAAGATCAGGACTCGGGGGCTGTGTGACAGCTCTGCCGCCGACTCCGCTCCGCTCCGGGGGTCTCGAGGCCGGGGTTCGGGACGGGCGGTGCGGGAGCCCCGGCGCATCCGCGGGTAAGCGGCTCCCTCTGGCGGCGGCTCCGCGCCCTGCAGGAGCCCGCGCCCGCCCAGCGCCGCCGCCGGATCCAGCCCCGCGAGCGGAGCGAGGAACGCGCCGGTAACAATAAACTTGGCGGCGGCGGCGCAGCCCTGCTGCGGCCTCTAGATAACCGCGAGTACAAAATTATAAAAATTTAAAAGAACCGCCCAGCCGCTTCCGCCGCGGGGGGAGGGGTGTCGATTTTGTAGTCACCAGCACCGGAACGCCCGGAAAGGGGCTGATGACAAACGCCGGGGGTCGGTGCCGCCCTGGGAATTTCTGGTTATTTTTGCGGCTATCGAGGACCCGCGCTTGGGTTTTTTATTTTTTTGTTTTGCTTTTTTTTTTTTTAGTTATTTTGCCGACAGGCGGGCGGCCTCGGGGAGCGCGGAGGAGGCGGGGAGAAGCGCTCCCCGCCTTATCGTTCCGGCGGGGTGGGGGGGAGAAG